GGACAGCAGAAGTAATCTGAGGACAATAAATTGATCTGAGGACAGCAAACTGAAGCGAAAACAATCGGACTGGTCTGACTGGGGGTGTAAACGATTACAGGAAGTTTATTTTAGGTATTTTGCGGTTGTGCAGATGAATTTGCGCGTGCGTCTTACCTAACGCAGTTCATGGAAAAGTTCCCCTCCACAGTTTCCGGTAATTTTCGACAGATTTCCGGTCGGACTTGTTCAAAGCAGCTTCAATTTGGGTCTTTTTTGCTTTATCCTGCTCTTTCCGTTTTTGCTCCCGATTTCAGTTAATCCCTCGCGGAAACGCACTGCTGTCCGTGCACGCGCCTCAACACACCCACTTTCATCAGTTCTTCTTCTTCTTCTTCTTCTTCTTAGTTTTTCTTTGGCGGTTGGCATTCAAGATTTTGAAGCATTACCGCCATCTACTGTTTTAGTTTGTCAACTGGAATGTCGCTCAAAAATAAATAAATAAATAAATAAAATAAATAAATAATTAATTTAAAAAAAAATAAAAAAATAAAAAAAAAATAAATAAAATAAAAAAAAAAATAATAATAATAATAATAATAATAAAAATAAATAAAATAAATAAATAAATAACTTATATCCATAAGAATAAATAACACTCATATTCTCTCAAACAACTGAGTCCTTTTCAGGTATTTCAACAAGATGTTGGTACTTGCAGAACTTGAATTTGCTTGGAGCAGCACTACAGGGTCAAATCTGACGTTTATTGCATTGAGTCTTTGAATCATTTGTCTTCTTTCATGATGGTAGTTTTGGCAGATCATTAGCACGTGTTGTATGGTCTCATCTTCCCCACAATGGTCACATTTTCCCGTGTTATGTTTCCCTATAATGAATAATGTCCTGTTCAATCCTGTGTGTCCAAATCTGAGTCTTGAGATGACAGTTTCTTCCCTTCTGTTTCTTTCAGCTCTTCTCATTTCTCCAACTTTTCATTGAATTATGTAGAACCATCGACCTTTTCTTTCTTCTTCCCATTGCTTTTGCCATTTTTCCCTCATTCTCTGTTTTGTGATGCTTTTTATTTCTGCCCGACTGAATTTTACCTCTATTTCCACTGAGTTGTGTTTGGTGGCCTCCTTTGCAGCTTTATCTGCCATTTCATTTCCTCTTATCCCTGTGTGAGCTGGAATCCATAAAAATGTAACTGTTAACCCCGTCATATTAATTTTGAATAATGTTTGCTGTATTTCTGTCAATATGTCTGGTCTGCTTTCTGAACAACTGTTTTTTATACTAATTACTGATGAACTGGAATCTGAGCATATGACTGATCTGAGTGGTTGATTGTCTTCTATCCATTGAACTGCCAGTAATATTGCAACCATTTCTCCGGTGTATACTGATAATTTGTTGTTTAATCTCTTCCCTACTTTAACTCCAAACTCTGGTACAATAAATGCTGCCCCTATTTGCCCTGCTGTATTTTTTGAAGCGTCTGTATATATTTTTACATATCCATAATATTTATTGATGTGTTCGATAACTGTGTTTGAAATCAATCCATTTCTATTTTGTTCTAATATTTTTAAATCAACTGTTGTGTCTGTGAATAACCATGGATGTATGTTTGGAAGTGGAACTGTTGGGCTGACGTTAAGATCATCTATTTGACTTTCTGCTGACTTTTGATTTATGGTCCATCCAAAGTTTTTTGTGTGTTTCTTTTCTTTCTCCCAGCAAGGTTTTAATATTTCTTGTGTTGGATGGTTTTGTTCGTGTCCTTTCAGATTTGCCCAGTAATTTAATGCTAATTGTTCTCTTCTGATGTTCAGTGGTGGTTCTCCCATTTCTACTAATATTGATCCTGTATGTGTAGTTTTGAATGCCCCGGTAATAATCCTTAATGCCTGATATTGAATACTGTTTAACTTTTCTAAATTTGTTTCTGAAGCTGAACTATAAACGATACTCCCATAGTCTATTATTGATCTGATTAATCCTGTGTAGATGGTCCTTTGTGCTTTCCTGTCTGCTCCCCAGTCTTTCCCTGTCAAACACCTCATGATGTTTAGAATCTTTTTACATTTGTCAGTAACTTTTTGAATGTGCACTGTCCATGTTAGTCTCTCATCAAACCAGATGCCCAGAAATTTAAACTGTTTTTCTCTTTCAATTACTTTTCCGTACAACTTGAGTTCATTATTATTAGGTATGTTTTTTCTTGTGAAAATTATTGATTTTGTCTTTTCTACTGAAAATTTTAATCCCCATCTATTTGACCATTTTCAACTGTTTTTATTGCTTCCTGTACCTTTTTTATAATAAACTGTAGATTTTTGCCTCTCTTCCACAAAGCCCCATCATCTGCAAATAAAAACCTTCCCATTCTTGTTTCTACACCATCAAACATGTCGTTGATCATTATAGAGAATAACAGAGGGCTAACTATGCTTCCCTGTGGTGTCCCATTTTCTATGAAGTATTTGTCAGAGTAATCTTTTCCTATTCTCACCTGTATTTGTCTGTCTGATAGAAAAGTTTAATCCATTTAAACATTCATCCTGTGATTCCCATTTTTTTTTCATTTTTACAAGTAGTCCCTCTCTCCACATCATGTCATACGCTTTCTCTACGTCAAAAAATTCAGCTACCACACTTTCTTTATTAATCTGGGCTTTCCTGATCTCATGCTCCAGACACAAGACTGGATCCATCGTGTTTCTTCCTTTTCTAAAACCACTTTGATAGTTGGACATATAACCTTTTTTGTTACTTTTTTGTGGCCTTAGGATTGCCTCTCTGCTTTTTGCAGATGATGTGGTCTTATTGGCTTCATCAGATCGTGATCTACAGTTTTCGCTGGAGCGGTTCGCAGCCGAATGCGACACGGCCGGGATGAAGATCAGTTCCTCCAAATCCGAGGCCATGGTCTTGAGCCGGAAAAGGGTAGAGTGCCCTCTCCGGGTCAGGGAGGAGGTCCTACCCCAAGTGGAGGAGTTCAAGTATCTTGGGGTCTTGTTCACGAATGAGGGAAAAATGGAGCGTGAGATCGATTGGCGGATAGGTGCAGCGTCTGCAGTGAAGCAGGCGCTGTACAGGTCTGTCATGGTGAAGAGAGAGCTGAGTCAAAAGGCGAAGCTCTCAATTTACCGATCGATCTACGTTCCTACCCTCATCTATGGTCACGAGCTTTGGGTTGTGACCGAAAGAATGAGATCTCTGATACAAGCGGCCAAAATGAGTTTCGTGTCTGGGCTCTCCCTTAGAGACAGGGTGAGAAGCTCGATCATCCGGGAGGGACTCGGAGTAGAGCCGCTGCTTCTCCACATCGAGAGGAGCCAGTTGAGGTGGCTTGGGCATCTGTTTAGGATGCCTTCTGGACGCCTCCCTGGTGAGGTGTTCCAGACACGTCCCACCGGAAGGAGGCCCAGAGGAAGACCCAGGACACGCTGGAGGGACTATGTTTCTCGGCTGGCCTGGGAACGCCTCGGGATTCCCCTGGAAGAGCTGGCCCAAGTGGCTGGGGAGAGGGAAGTCTGGGCCTCCCTACTTAGGCTGCTACCCCCGCGACCTGACCCCGGATAAGCGGAAGAAAATAGATGGATGGATGGAAGACCTGAAATATTTCAGTTGGTGTGCAATGAATCTGAAATATATGAAAGTTTCATTTTTATCATTACATTATGGAAAATAATGACCTTTATCACTATATTCTATTTTTTTGAGAAGGACCTGTATATGCATGTGTGTTTGTGTAGGGTGTAAGACTGCAAGTGTATATGTTCCTTTAGCATATGGTCCCCATTATCTCAGACTTCAAGGCCTTTCCACCCGGGCCTTGGAACGAGACATGCCGGGACATGTCCATTCCGGGAACAGGCTGGTCTCCATTTAGCGGTCTCCTTGACAGATGTAACAGACCCATCTGTGACTTTGACATCAGTAGTAGACTTTTGGATTCAAGCTAACTCATCTAGTAAGACTTTTTCAAAGTCTACCCCAACAATCCAACATTTTTCAGTCATGTCATCTGGACAGTTTCTTTTTTGTGCTGAAACGTTTCGCATTTGATCCGGAAGGCTTCATCAGTCAAGGAAACACACAAGAAAACTGATTCTTCCCCCAACAGCTTACTCCAAAGTGGAACAAACCAGTTTTGTTTGTGATAAGATGGTCTCTTTGGTACGCCCACTCCTCCAGTGCCAGCCCTCTTCCTTGTTGCCAGTCATGTCAAACTGGTTGAAAACAACAAAGTCCATGCTCAATAATCCAGGTATAAAATCCAATATTTTTCTGTCAGGTCATCTGGACAGTTTCTTTTTTTTGTGCTGAAACGTTTCGCTTTCGATTCTGAAGGCTTCATCAGTCAAGGAAACACACAACAAAACTGATTCTTCCCCCAACAGTTTACTCCAAAGTGGAACAAACTGTTGGGGTTTTCAGTGTGTTCTCTCCACAGACTCTTGAGCTCCTACAGCAGAGTTAATCATGCCTAGCTGCTGGCCATCTCCCTAATTACCTCCAGGACTATATGAGGCTGCAGACTTGCTTCATCCAGTGCTGGAGCATATCTTGTTGAGGGTAGTTGTGCTCCTGGCCTTTCAAGTGTTTCGATATATTTTTGAATTACTTACCTGTGTGTCTTCTTCGCTTCTAACAGAACTTGGTTTTTCCTGCACCTCCAGTCCTGGATGTTTCATGCAAACCTGTGGATTGATCTGTACTTACCTGAGCTCAAGTCTCTCCTCGTGGACTCCAGCCAAACTACTACCCCTCCTGCCTCGACCTCCACGCTCCATCCGTGCATCGACCTTTTACTGGAATTTGGATTCCACCCTGTGTCCTCCCACCAGTCATTTACAGTAAGAAGAATATTATCATTTCCCGACCATCATATCATCCATCCTCCGACCAATAAGACTCTAATCGACTCCCCTTTCCCTTCCAGGAATTTTCCAGTTTCAGCTCTTGTGAATATAAGACTGTTTATTATTTATTATTATTATCACTGTAAAATAAATCACCCTTCTATTTATGATCCTGAGTCTGTTGTCCTTCAGTCCGTTCTTTCTGGGTACACTCCGCCATTATGACACAAACCAGTTTTGTTTGTGATAAGATGGTTTCTTTGGTACGCCCCCTCTTCCTTGTTGACAGTCGTGTCAAACTGGTTGAAAACAAAATCCATGCTCAATAATCCAGGTTTACAATCCAACATTTTTCAGTCAAGTCATCTGGACAGTTTATTTCTGGACAGTTTCTGGATTATCTTATTATCTTATCACAAAAAAAAAAAAAACTGGTTTGTTCCACTTTGGAGTAAGTTGTTGGGGGAAGAATCAGTTTTGTTTGTTTCCTTGACTGATGAAGCCTTCTGGATCGAAGGCAAAACGTTTCAGCACAAAAAAAGAAACTGTCCAGATGACCTGACTGAAAAATGTTGGATTGTTTACCTGGATTATTGAGCGTGGACTTTGTTGTTCTACCCCAACAAGTTTAGCCATACCTTGTAGCTCAGTGAGATAAGCACTAGTTATGCTAGAACCTCTATCTGCAGCATACAACTCTGATAATAGTTGAATGTTATGGATAATAAGATTACTGCTTGGTCTGTCGCAGGGTAAGCTCTCCTGTAAAAACTCAATAGCTTGACCAGATTTGAATTCAATTTTGACAGAATATCAGGGTGCACCTGGTGATGAGCTGCTGAGGTCACGTGAGAGCTGTGCTGTGTAAGTAACATGGCAGGATGCTGCTAAACAAAACGATTCAACTCAGGTAAAACAAGCCAATATATTACAATCAAGCATAATAAATATTGTTAATAATAACCTCTGCATTTTGTTTCAATAAACCAAACTGGACGAGGAAACCTTAATAATAATAATAACTTTTATTTATAATGCACTTTACATTCACAGTGAATCTCAAAGTGCTACAAAGAGTGAACATCAGATAGCAGCAGGATAAAAGCAACCATAAAAGCAGGGGGGGGGGGGGGGGGTGTCGCTGGCCCAGGTTCTGGTCGATCCTCTGGGCTATGTGCCGGTCCGTGGCCTGGGTCCCTGGTGGTGCGGCTGCCTCCTGCTCCTGGATGGATGCACTGGAGCCTCCCTCCCCTGGTGGATCTTGGAGAATGGGGGTGCCTATTGGGGTCAGTGGGGGAGCTGGAGAGTAGAAATGTATTGGATGATCTCAGTGTTCTCCTATATCCATGGACAGCTACAAGATCAGTCAAATATAGTGGGGCAAGACCATTGAGAGCTTTAAAAGTGAATAATAAAATTTTAAATTTAATTCTAAAATCGACTGGAAGCCAGTGGAGAGAAAATAAAACAGGGGTAATGTGCTCACGTCTGGAGGTGTTGGTTAAAAGTCGAGCTGCAGCATTTTGGACCAATTGAAGGCGTCTAATGGAAGATTCAATTCAATTTCAATTTCAATTCAGTTTATTTCTATAGCGCCAAATCACAACAAAGTTGTCTCAGGCACTTTACAGAAACATTCACATACATAAAAGCCAATTAGTAAAGTTCTCTATCTAAGGAATTCCTGCATATAGGGAATTGCAGTAGTCGAGCCTTGAAGTTATAAAAGCACGAATGGCCTTTTCCAAATCAGAACGATTTAAAAAGGCTTATCTTTGGATAAAAGACGTAACTGATAAAAACAGGTCTTGACTACAGAGGATATTTGTTTGTCAAACTTTAAGTCCTTATCAAATGTCACTCCCAAGTTTTTAACTGTGGGTCTGAACTTGGATGTCAGAGCACCAAAGTTACAGGGAGCATCATCACCAAAGAAGATGCATTCTGTCTTTCCTTCGTTTAAAAACAAAAAATTACGATGAAGCCAGTTTAATGTCGGCAATACAATCAGCGAAAGGTGTGAGAAGGTTACTGATTTTAGGTTTCATTGGTAAATAAATTTGTACATCATCAGCATAGCAGTGAAAAGAAAAATTATGTTTGGCTATCACTGATCCACAGGGCAGCATGTACAATGAGAAGAGGACAGGACCAAGAATAGAACCCTGTGGCACACCACAAGAGAGAGGGGCAGTGGAGGAAGACAGATTATCCAGCATGACAGAGAACGTTCTGTTGGTCAAATAGGCAGTGAACCACTTGAGAGCTGTACCAGATATTCCAACATAACGTTGAAGACGAGACAACAGGACAGCGTGGTCCACTGTGTCAAACACAGCTGTAAGGTCCAGCAACACCAGAGCAATGGGACACTTGACATCCATGGACATGGAAATGTCATTATGGACTTTTAACAGGGCTGATTCGGTAGAATGACGGGTTCTAAATCCAGACTGAAATGTTTCATAAATACCATGGTTTTCTAAAACAAGTTGTAACTGCATAAAAACAACTTTTTCTAAAACTTTATCTAAAAAAGGCAGATGAGAAATAGGTCTAAAATTTGATAAAAGTGATGGGTCTAGGTGAGGTTTTTAAGAAGGGGCCTAACCACAGCATGTTTAAATGCAGCAGGGACAATTCCTAGACGAAGGCAGGAGTTTAAAAATGTTTAAACACAGAAACCCACAGAATTAAAAACCTCTTTCAAAAACTTGGAGGGAAGAATGTCCAGTGGGCAATTAGTGAGCTTCCTGTGGAACAACATCAGTGAGAGTGGCAAGAGACACTGGTTGAAAGTGTTCAAACACGACTGGAGCTACAGCTACTCTTGGTTAAAGAAATCAGGTCCCTCTCATAAATGAGTCTCTGAGGCTCAATGGGATTAACCTGTATAAATAAAGGTTGAATGAAAAAAGGTTTACTGTCCTCAGATCAGTTTATTGTCTTCAGTCCAGTTCTACTGTCCCTCTGATGACTGTAAGTTGCTTTAACCTCCAACATATCCAGCTCTTCATCTGAATCACCTGAGGGTTCGGCTCCTCTCCACTTCTCATCACAGGAAAACCCCACCGAGTCTCCAGCCTTCTCTTTTCCCCCAGTATCTCATCCAAAAACTCCTTCATCCCAGGTGAGTCATACCCAGTGAGGACTGAACTAGGCAAAATGACCTTCTCCTACTCTGCTACTGTTTCCTGGAATATTTTGCGAAAAGATTTGAAGCTCTCGACCTTGACCTCTCTAAGTGGCTTCAAACGTTTGTTAAGCTCCTGGCAAAAACCAATGCAGACATGTTCCTGTTTTTAGTTTTCTACACTGCCTTGTAACCTAGCTGGGTTTTTTTGCTATGTTTCTTTCATCTTTTAATTATCATACTGTTTTCAGTTGTTAAAAAAAAAAAAGTTTGTATGAATCATTTGTGAATGGCTATTGTTGTCGTCGTTATCCACTGTTGTCATCACTCTTTGTTAAAATCCAGGTCTCTCTTGTAAAGGAGTCCTCGTGGCTCAATGGGACTAACCTGTTTAAATAAAGGTTGAATGAATGAATACAGTCCAGGGAAGCGAAAATATTCACCAAGCATGTCCTCTGCAGCCACCCAACTTTCCCACAGATCACTGGAGGTGGCCACCATACCCACATAATTTCTGGTTGTTTCAAAGAGCCACTGATTCAGTCAACCCAATAATTCTCAGTTGGGTCATCTGGACAGTTTCTTTTTTTTTTATAAAGACATTTCAACCTCTATCTTGAGGGCTTCATCAGTCAGAGTTCCAGTAAACTGTTTCCCCACCAAAAAGTAAAATCTTAAGTGGACCAACCAGTTCGCTGGAGCTAAGATGGTTTCTGGGGGTCGTCCTGTCCCTTGTCAACTCCTCCCAGGCAGGCAGCCACAGCCAAAGTGGTTCAAGGCAACAAAGTTCATGCTCAATCATCCAGGTGCCAAATCCAATAATTCTGTCGGGTCATCTGGACAGTTTCTTTTTTTTTTTTTGAGATGTTTCACCTTCGATCCAGAGGGCTTCATCAGTCAGAGGAGTTCCAGTAAACTGTTTCCCCACCAAGCAGTAAACTCCTTAAATGGACCAACCAGTGGCTGTAACTATCATACCCACCACTGCACCCAGTATTCACTGGTTAACTGGACATCATTAACTTCACGCAGACTCTCCCACTGGTACATTTTCATCTTTAAATCACTTCTTGGTCTGCTGCCTTCATACATCTCCTCCTACATGTCTCTGTGTGAGTGCAGCTACAGCGTGCGCTCTCAGGACATTATTACATGCAGTGTCCCCCCAGTGAGGATTGAAGTAGGCAAAAGGACCTTCTCCTACTCCGCTCCTGTTTCCTGGAATATCTTGCAAAAAGATCTGAAGCTCTCGACCTTGACCTCTTTAACTGGCTTTAAGCATCTGTTAAGTTCCTGGCAAAAACCAACGCAGACATGTTCCTGTTTTTAGTTTTCTACACCGCCTTACAACCTAGCTGTTATTACACTACTTTTCCTTTAAATTATCCTTTTAATTACTATTTCATTTTCACTTTTTTTTAATTATTTGTACACAATCTTTATGATTGTCTATTGTTGTCCACTGTTTTCATTACTCTTTATTAAAATTAAGGTCTCTTTTGTAAATGAATCCTCAAGACTCAATGGGATTAACCTGAATAAATAAAGGTTGAACATTTTGATGTTGTCGGTTTGGGAAGTTTAACCGGTGACCTTACGATCACAGGCTCACCTTCTCTAACCTCTGCGCCACGACTCCCCCTAGGTCAAGTGTTCATATTAAATAAAATTAAAATAAAGTTGTTCTAGTTTATTTTGTCAGACACTTTCAGTATCTTCTGGTCAAGTTGTGGAGTCAAACACAAAGAAGTTATGCATGTTGCTGAATAAACTGACATTCTGCTTCCTACAGGAAGGTCACAATGGTTCTGTGCTGTGATGGTAAAACACGCCAAGCCTTTCGTCAATAAGAATAAAAATAAGAATGTTTAATATTTGGTTTAGTAGTAAAACGTACAAACATGCAGCTGGGGTTTCTCCAGCAGAAACTGCTTCGTTACTTTGGTTACATAATCAAAAGTCAATTTAAAAAAACAAAACAAAAAAAAACAAACAAGTGAGGACTGAAAGTGTGCAAAATATAGAGACTGTCAAAAATGTGACAAACAGCTTCAGAATCTCACAGTGGGAAAAACTGTACCATGAAACTGAACCACATTGCAGTTCGCCTTTTCCGAAAGACTGCTCCGCTAGCAGGGAGCATCAGGAGTCCGACACATCTGGCTCTGCAGTCAGATGTGGTCAAAGACACTTCACCTCCTGTTGGAGGTTTCAGACATCATCATCACCCTCCTCCTCCTCCTTTTCTATAGGTAGATGTTGATTTGTTTGGCCAGTTCTCGGTCCAGATCATGGATGAGGGTGTCAAAGTCCTTCAGGCTGAGTCGGCAGTTGAATGGAGCATCAAAGTCCATGAAGTCATCCACAAACATTCCTGCTCCTGCACCTCTTGAAGACCACGCCTCCTTCTGCTCTTCCTCTTCGTCATGCTCGCTGTCTGAAACAAAAAGTAGATGCCATGTTCTTGTTACTATTTGTTCCTCTGAAGCTGAGAATCTTCCTACATGAGATATTGGATTAACTACAGATGGATCTGTTTTTAATGAACCTGAACTGAACCTCCATGCTTTTCATGGTTTTACCTTCATCACTCTCACTTCCAGCCACCTCGTCATAATCAGCTTCCTGTTCAGGCAGAAGCTTTCTGCCACAGACACTCCAGTCTCCAGCATACCGATTGATTGGTGGCGGACTCTCCAGCCTGCTGTGGCTTCGACGGGAGACCACCACCTCCTCCCGGTTTGGAGCCACACCTAGCCTTAGGAAGGGATGGCACTGTTGTGGCAGCTGGCCCAGGGCACTCTGGGTAAGGATGGAACAGGATAGAGGGGAAAGGTGTGTACGGTCATCTGATGGAACTCGATGAGTTGGCACTGAGGAGAACAGGGGGAATGTCAAATGTAATTTTTTCCTATTGCAACAGCACAGCGTTACAATGGACAGGGACTTCCTGGTCTCACCTGGCCACAGTTGCAGCAGGTAGTGCAGGGCCTCAATGTGCCGTTTGAAGTCTACTGCGTTCACTATCTCCTCACCAGGACTGAAGAACTTCCCCATTCCTCGACTCGCCCTTTCTGTTCTTTCTCTTGCCCTCCACGTCTCCTGGGTTGGTGTGAGGAGCACTGGACCAAAGCAGACTGCCAGGTTCTGATGGGTCATCCTGTTGAAGGAGCTGAAGGATGCGACCAGGCTGAGGTGGTCCAACAAGAGGGACAGTGTGGCCTGAGAACAGAAGCTGATCATCATCATCATTTCCTTTATTTCAGACACAATATGATCCATATAAAAAACAAACACCAACAAGAAAACAAAGTTAAAAAAGCTTTTCTATAGAAGTTCAAATGCCATTGAGTCCATAAAGTAGAAAAGTATCGCACAGAGCTTAGTCTATGGTTGGTCAGTGTAGCAATGATAGTTTTCAGATTCAGACAACCTACACATGCATCTATACATGAGGTTTTGCAGCACCGTAGGGCAGGTAGGCACACTTGCGTCTACTGTTATGTGCCTGTGGCACATTTGCCTTATTATTTTGTCCCTTTGGACAGGTTTTGTGTTGGCTAATCAACCTTTGATTGTTTTGGGCTGTGGCCTTTTCTGCCCATCCATAAATAGGCTGGTTTCCCTCTAAGGCTCACTCTGCTTTTGGCCCTCTCTGAGGCACACTTTGTTTTTGCTCCTCTCATGCTCCCACATTTTTGGACCTTGTTCTTTGCCGCCCTTGTTTTCCCAGGGCCCTTGTTTTATTCTTCTCTTTTTTGTCCTGGAGCTGTGGCCTGCTGTCGGTGGCCCCAGCCACCTCAGGTAAATTTTTTTGTTAACTTTTTGTACATTTGTTGTAACTTTGGTCTGGTGGGACTAGTAGCCCTGTTTTCGCTTCTTCTTTTGTAATAGAGTTTTTGTAGTTTTTTTAGTCTGGTACCCAGTGGCTTAGACGGCCCTGTATAGGGTTGGCCCACTGTGGTACCTTTATGTTCTGTTTGGCCGGCCCACCAGCTCCATCTTTAAGTTGTTACTTTGGGTTTTTGTTTTTTTTGGGTGGACACAGACATTAGGGGTTCATTATAATCTTTTTTTTCCCCCCGCAGGAAGCCTGTTTAAATAAACTGAAAGTTTGAACCCTTACGTTTTGAGTCCGTGTCCTTTAATATGTTATCTAAAAAAGTTAAATCTGGTCCTCTGGACATTCAAAAAAAAAAATTAAAAATAAAATAAAATAAAATTGTAGAAACGTTTTGTCTTTCATCCGAAAGACTTCCTCAGTCTGAGGTGCTGTATTCAGCTCAGTCTTATAAATAGCACCTTATCATAGTGGATCAACCAGTTTGCTGCTGACAACCAAAACCAGCTGCTTACATAATCAAGGAGGACCATCAGCCTAACGATGGATCATTAGCACCCTAATGGCTGTTTGATATTCACAGGGGGCTGAGTGATACTAGCAATAACAGCATTGTAAGAGGGGGACAGTTGAACATGGAGGCCTTCACCCATTTAATGATGGACGGTTTCTTTTCACAAAGATGGCCTCCTTTACTCCTCTCTCAAACCATCGTTCCTCTCTATCCAGGATGTGAACATCTTCATCCCTGAAAGAGTGACCACTGGCCTGGAGATGAGTGTAGACCACAGAGTCCTGGCCTGATGATGTTGATCTTCTGTGCTGGTCCATCCTTTTGGCCAGTGGCAGTTTAGTTTCCCCAATGTAAGACTGATCACAGCCCTCCTGACACTGAACAGCAAACACAATATTACTCTGTTTGTGCCGGGGGACTGGATCTTTGGGATGAACCAGTCTTTGCCGTAATGTGTTTAGGGGTTTAAAAGCCACTGGGACGTTGTGTTTAGAAAAGTTTTTCCTTTCCACTGTTGCCACTGTGCTTGCTGAGGATGGGAGACTGCAACGAAGCCAAGACTCAACTTGTCTGCTGGATTCCTTAGATAGAGAACTTTACTAATTGGCTTTTATGTATGTGAATGTTTCTGTAAAGTGTCCTGAGACAACTTTGTTGTGATTTGGCGCTATATAAATAAACTGAATTGAATTGAGTTTGTATGTTCTCCCTGTGCATGCGTGGGTTTTCTCCGGGTAGTCCAGTTACCTCCCACAGACCAAAAACATGCATGTTAGGCTGATTGGTAAATCTAAATTGTCCCTAGATGTAGGTGGGAGAGTGAATGGTTGTTTGTCTCATTTGTCTCTATGTGGCCCTGTGATGGACTTGGCTTGTCCAGGGTGTACTCCGCCCCTCACACAGTGATTAATGGACATGGGCACCGGCGACCCCTTGACACTAAAAAGGAAGACGCGGTTAAAGATAATGAATGGATGGATGTTTATGTTTAGTGTCCAGAGACGACTTCTGTTGTGACTTGGCACTATATAAATAAACTGAATTGAAGTGAATTGATTTGAATAGGTTTTGTCAACTTTATGTCCATCCATCCATTACCTTCCACTTATTCCAAAGTCAGGTTGCAGAGGCAGCAGCTTGAGCCGGGAGGCCCAGACATCTCTTTCCACAGCCACCTCTTCCAGCTCTTTTGGGAGAATTCCAAGGTGTTCCCAGACCAACCGAGAGACATAGTCTCTCTACCGTGTCCTAGGTCTTCCCTGGGGTCTCCTACCAGTAGGACATGCTCGAAGCACCTCCCTAGGGAGGCGCCCAGGGACCATCCTTACCAGATGCCCGAACCACCTCAACTGGCTCCTCTCAACGTGAAGGAGTAGCGGTTCTACTCTGAGTCTCTCCCGGATAACTGAACTTCTCACCCTATTTCTAAGGGAGAGTCCAGCTACACTGCAGAGAAAACTCATTTCAACCGCCTGTATCCACAATCTCATTCTTTCGGTTACTACCCAGAGCTCATGACCATAGGTGAGGGTAGGAACGTAGACCGACTGGTAAACAGAGAGCTTTGCCTTACAGTTCAGCTCTCTCTTCACCACAACGGACCGGTACTGAGTCTGCAATACTGCAGACGCTGCACCACTCCGTCTGTCAAGCTCACGCTCCATTCTTCCCTCACTCGTCAACAAAATCCTGAGATACTTGAACTTTTCCACATGAGGCAGAAACTCACCCTCGACCTGAAGAGATCAATCCACCCTTTTCCGGTTGAGGACAATGGCCTCAGATTTGGAGGTGCTGATTCTCATCCCAGCCGCTTCACAATCAGCTGTGAACTGCTCCAGTGAGAGCTGAACATCACGGCACGATGACACCAACAGGACCACATCATCTGCAAAGAGCAGAGATGGAATCCTGAGGCCATCGAACCAGAAACCCTCCACCAGCTAATCGCACCGAAAAATTCTGCCCATAAAAGTTATGAACAGAATCGGTGACAATGGGCAGCCCTGGCGGAGTCCAACTTCCACCCTGAAGGGGTCCGATTTACTGCCGGTAATGCAAACCAAACTCTCGCATCGCTTGTATAGGGACTGAACAGCCCGTAACAACGGGTCTCCAATCCCATACTCACGGAGCACCCCCCCCCCCCCCCCCCCACAGTGTACCCCGAGGAACAAGGTCGAATGCCTTCTCCAAGTCCACAAAACACATGTATGCTGGATGGGCAAACTCCCATGACCCCTCAAGGACCCTAGTGAGGGTAAAGAGCTGATCCAGTGTTCCATGGCCAGGACGGAACCCACATTGTTCCTCCTGGATCTAAGGTTCGACCAACGATCGGACTCACTTCTCCAGTACCCCTGAATATACCTTAACAGGGAGGCTAAGGAGAGTGATGCCCCTATAATTGGAGCACACCCTCCGGCCCCCCTTTTTGAAGAGGGGAACCACCACCCCAGTCTGCCAATTCAGTGGCAATGCCCCTGATGTCCACACGACGTTGCAAAGGCGTGTCAGCAAAGACAGCCTCACAACATCCAGAGCCTTAAGGAAATCAGGATAAATCTCATCCACTCCAGGAGCCCTGCTGCCTCGGAGCTTTTTAACTACCATGGCGACCTCAGCCACGGTTATGGACGGATCAATCCCAAATAGGGCTGAGTACTGAACCGAGGTTCTTTTATAGCACCGACTGAACTGCATCGGTCGGTATATGGATTGAAAAGTCACTCTTTTTTTGGTGTCAAGTTTCAGTATTGGCTGTAACGTATCACATGGTTTCAGCACGCCGTCAGGTAAAACGCAGACATATGACAAACAGACTACATGTTCACACCCAGAGCTGTATAGAGCTGCCCTACATCTTGTAGGTCTATGGTGCTGGTTACGCACAGAGACGGGGTTCACGTGCGCAGCGCGTGTTGACGAACGGCTTTCTGCAAGAAGAGTGAAGGACAGCAGCCTCTCCCCCTACTCTCTCAGCGTTAAAAGTCAGCCTGTGAGTGTTAGAGCATAAACGGCCTGAATCAACATTCCACGACCGGACTCCTCTTCATCAAAGAACTCCGAGGACGGAGCTGTGTCTGTGTTTCAGCTGGTAAGTTTATGTTTGTTAATGTTAATACAGCTTAACACGTGCATCACGGTGAATTAAACTAGAATTCATGTAACGTTAACTTTAAGCTATTAGTGTGTAAATTTATTTTATCTATGTAGCTAGCTAAACTCAGAAGCTAACTTGGCACTTTGAGATTTTTGTTAATGAAAAGTGTGTTATAAATTAAATTCATTATTATTATTAACTCAAATTTGACAATAACAGATTAAGCTTAGCTTGTAAAACTGTGCTCATCCATCGGATCAGCTACTTAAAAAGTTCAGCTAATGTTCACTGTTTGTTGATGTTCTCCTCACTGGAGCCTCTGACCTTGATGTGAGAAGGACAGAGGCAGACAAAAGAAAAGCGAGGTGTGTGTGTGTGTGTGTGTGTGTGGGGGGGGGGGGCACAGGACAGTCACAAACTTTGTTGTTAAAAGTTTGCTGCCTTTTTCTACAGTGGAGGCTGCATGTTGGAGGTAAGTAAACTAAAGGATACTGTTGACCAGTTAAGCTTTTATTTCTCAGCCTAGATAATGTTTTTTGAGGAATAATAACACAACCATGTTATTGTTGATGTTTTGTGTTCTAATGTCAATTAGGGAGATGATCAGAGCCCTAAACCCCAGAAAACCACAGAGAAGATTCAGGAAGAGACACAGAGGTGCAGATGTCGGCCATCAACCCTAACCTCAGTGAATCCAGTGACCTGCTGGTGGAATGTGAAGGACACTATGTCAGTGTTATCAAACTGATAACCAGGTATCTGCA